TCCGACATAAATGAGTCAAGGGTCGAGGTACTTCGATTACCGGCCTCAGTACACTCTGAACTGATAGAGTACAGAACTCCTACACAGGATGCACAGGAACTTCAAATGAAATTTCAACCGCAAGTGGAACGATCAACGCGTCCACGCAAACCAATGTTGTTGTTAGAGAACGGATCAGATGCCGAAGAAAATCTGGAAGGAAGCGAAGGTCTGCCATCTCCAAAGCGTGCAAGGATTGATGAAGACGACCTAATATCTGAAGCTGTTCTCGCTTATCCTGTCAGTGTTGCTGAAGAATCGGACGTGCCTACCACGTATGCGCGGCAGTGGCTAGTGCCGAAGCAGAACATTGGCGACAAGCGATGGACGCCGAATTATAATCGCATCGCCAGAACAGAAAATGGACACTCGTTCCACGAGAATCAGTTGGACGTACGTTTGGATGCTGCTGGGTCTTTGCTAAGAAGCCTGCCCAGAATGAATGTGTTGTGCGCTACAAAGCACGATTGGTGGCTAAAGGGTTTAAGCAGAAATGCGGCGTGGATTTCATCGTGACTTACTCTCTAGTGGCCAACATGAACTCAATTTGAGTTGTACTCGCAGTGTATGCGGTATTAGGCTACAAATTGAGCACTGGACGTCGACACCGCCTTTCTCAACAGTGTGCTGTCGGTTGGTTAAACATGGAGGTCTCGATCGGTATTAAGGAAGCTCAAGAATCTGTGTGTCAGCTGATATATGGACATATGCATGCTGCAAGTGCTTGGAGCACGACGGTCGATCTCGTCTATGAGATGAACGATTTTAGAAGTTGTGGTGCAGATTGATCTGTCTACGTGAAGAAAGTGAAAGAAGGTTTTGTGTACGTATGTCCATATGTCGATGATATGATCATTACAATTAAGACGAGCAGCGAGATTCTAAAGGTCAAGGGGGATGCTAAAAAGTGTTTTTCACGATGAAGGATCTCGGTATGGCGAAGTTCGTCTCGGGCATGTAGATCGACCTCAACAGGACAGCTTCCACACTAATGATCAAGCAGACACGCTACATTAGCGACTTGGCCGAGCGAATTTGGACAGAAAAAGGACGCTGACAATCCGTGTATGTCCGGTGTCATGTGTCAGTCACCAAGTACAGAAGCTGAGCGTTTAGAAATGCGGTCAAGGCCATATCGCTCACTAATTGGATGTCTACTATATGATACAACTTGCACTCACCGGACATCATATTTCGTTACACAACTGTCTCGATTTCTCGAGAATCCCGGATTACCGCAGTGGAACGCCGCAAGTCGTGTACTTTGCTACTTAATTCGACACGACATCACAGAATCATTCCCAAGGAAAGACCGGAACGGTGATCGTTGAAGATTTTTCGGATGCAGACTGGGGTAGCATCACCGATGACAGACGGTCTGTGTCAGGTGTATTGATCAATATTGAAAAAGCTCCGCTTGTGTTAAAGTCCAAGTATCAGAGAAGCATCGCACTAAGTAGAGCTTATGGCGCTAAACTTGTGCACGCAAGAAGTATTTTGAACGCGCGCAAAGCTGATGGACATGGGTAAAAAACAACTGGGATGTACGCAAATATGGGAAGATAATCAAGCTGCGATGGCTTTGGCAAAAGCCACGGGCTATCACGCTCGTACAAAACACGTAGACATTAGACATCTCTTTATTCGGGAAGACGTTCGGCATGGATTACTCAAGATTGACCACATCGATACGAAAAGTCAGCTTGCAGATATGCTAATCAAAGCACCGGGTACAAGATGCTCAAGTTTCTGCGAGAGGCAACAGGCATCAAGAGTAAGTCAGCTACAAAGCACACTCAACATTTGCAGTAAGTGGTAGTGTTAAGTTTACACCGCTGAATGCATGTGGATGACGTCACAAGGATTACAGTCGTGCTTACAATTACTATCCTGATTACAGCAAACTTAATGGGTCTTTTTTAATATGATTCATTTAGAGGCTTCTAAAAGGATATAGAAAGTCAGGAGAGGTAGCACAGGGTTGCGAAGTAAGGACCTAAATATATACTTCGGCTTCTCAATAATAACGTATTGTTGCTGACTTGAAAGGTGGTTGGAGGAAAACAGAAGAAGATTTATTATTGTTTTTACATTAAAATAATCGCACCTACTATATTTCACTTATACTTCCTTCTCTTTACTTTCCCTCTCTCTTCGTAAATATGCTGTTCAGAACAACGATCAACACCTACTGCAAGTTAATTACACGACGTAATATCGAGTGTGGTTGTGTCGTAACATGCCCTGAACGATCATCCATCGGCTGGAATTTGCTGACGAGGCGATTTGTTCTCACTCAATGAAATTGCAATGAAAAACGACTTCTCAAAAAATAAAATACAGGCTTTGCTAAACGGAAGTCGGACTTATCAATTGACGAGAGCACGTTATCTTAGTACAATACAACGGCTCTTTTCAATGAAGATCCAAATCACGTTTGCAAAGCTGTCTAAATAAAAGCGGAGTAATTATCGCTGGCTATCAGATGACTTTGGGTGTCATTGAACTGTGCAGTGTTATCTATATTATTTCGACTCGTAAGGCTTGGAATCTTTGCTTTAAAAGTGGCTACAAAAGACTTAAAAAACGGTGACAATTTCATCGATGTATTGAATGATCTAAGCGATTTTGATCAGGTTTCTCATTAATACTCTGTACGATTTAGCCAAATTTGCCTCTCCTGATCATGCATCTCTCTTCGCAGCATATCGAGACGAACAGCTCCGGACTCTGCTTACAACTTTTATAGTCATCCCCTGTCTATGTTGCGCACAAATCTTTGCATTCTTGATCGGCAGTGGAAGGACAGGCAAGGCAGATCATGATCGCGACCATCTTGACGAGAAAACTTGGGGTCATTGTCGTAAACTTCTTGTCCAAATGAAAAGTGCGAACATCCTTCACGATTCTGCCATTAGACATAATAGATACGTCATGTCTCGCTAAGAAACATTGAAGAAGAAGATTACAGAAAACGAACATGATGCCAAGTCCCCCGGCTCAAAAAATAAATGGATTTGAACTGTTTTCTTGAGATGAATGCCGACGGCGGTAATGTGTACCATTTTAGTGAAGTAGAAACTGTTATGATGTGAACTGGAGCAACAAATTAGTTCATTAATAAATTTGCGTTTGTCACGAACTTTTTGAGATTTCATGCCTCGAAATCCCATCCCGTTTTGTATGGTTACAATGCAGAATTTGGTGCTTGTAGCAAATTTTGTCGGTTTTATATATATCAAATAAAAAGTGCTGAGATTAGGTTACATGCACAGCATGGGATTAGGATAAGTGGTCTGACTGATAGCACCGTCTGGTGCTTTGATAACGGCACGCGTGATATGGTTTTCTCGATTTTTCGTATTTGCGACAATCATTTGAATTTGGGTTGTGCGCGACAGAAGTTGTTAAACCAAGATATAGCATCAGATCATTAACTTTGCAGTCGTTACCATTGGCCTTATCTACTATCATGACTTTTAGTCGAACCGGATAC